TGGATTTGAGACTTTAGTCTTTGCAACTTTACAGATCTTCTTTATGCACCAAGAGCTTGTAACACTCCAAAGAGAAAGGAAAAATTGAAATCGCATCATATGACCCCTTTAAAAAAAGAAAAGAGAACAATGAGCTATAGATGTGCATTTTCTTCTCCATATGTGTGTATGTACTACAGCTAAAGCTCATAAATAATTGTACAGATATAATAATAGATTTTCTTCTGTTTATACGAGACAGAGGTGTGGAAAATGCATTAAAATTGAAAAGGTACTTTGTTATGCTTTGTTGTACCTGTAAACATATAAGTAACCATATTGCTATGTACATGATCATGCATAAGCCTGATTTATTAGAACTGTGACACAGTAGGTCTATGTTCTCCACAAACTAGCTTCCAAGGATTTAGATTGATCTAAAATTTGAATCTAGATTTTAGATTGTAACTGCTCACACGAAGTTTGGATAGAGCCAGCTATTATTCATTAAAGTAGTGCGGAGCTAAACGGAGCTTTTAGACACTTCAAATCAATCGAACCAAAAGGCTTTCCAAAGCGAATCTCTTTTGAACCTCTCGAAACGCCTTACACTGGCGACAGCTGCTGGCCAAAACCATGTAAACGCAACGAGAACTCAGACTAAACATATAATGACACTTTTACAAATCAATTGCAACCCTTACGAAAATTAACCATGGTTTTAATATAGTAAAAGTGTAGTAAACATGTTTTTTTGGCATATTGATTATCATTTGTATAACCACAGTTTTACTACAAGTACAAATACCATGGTTAAACTATGGTTTGTGTGGCAAAACCATGGTTAATTTGTTGTTACCATGCTTTAACTATAGAAACCATGGTTTTTTGGTTTTATTAGTAGTAAAACCATGGTTAATTTTTGTAAGGGAAATGTCAGTGTAGCCTATTAATCTACAAAACAAACACATGCCATTCAACATTAAGTGTATGTTTATTTTTGTTCTTTTATTAATTTGTAGTGCTTGTTTTGTGTGGGTTTTGGGACGGTTTGGTTAATGCGTCCATTTGACTGCTGTCAGTGTGGAAAGAGTTACATAGAGAAGCAAAAGCTAAAGATTCACATGAGAATTCACACAGTACTGAGGGCCTTTCGACAGACCAGAAAACCCACCAGCTATTGAAGGAGTGTGATATAGTCAGTCTGTTTAAATGATTAGGCCATTTGACACAATAAGACAATACCTAAATGCAATGCTGTAACCGAGTTTTTACAGTTAGTTTACTTGCAGCAACTGTAGTCATCTTGATGGTTCATTTAAAAACTTGCATAGCCCTAATAGAAATACAGATTAAGTTAAGTAGCAATGTTTTTCAGCTTGTTGTTTTTTTCCCATTATTTTTATATTTCTTTACTCATTTATCATATATACATTTTATATATCCCTTTTACATTATAACTTTCCTTAATATTTATCTTGCCATGTTTTTCTAATGATGTGAAGAGTTAACTTGACAACAATTTTGAATAACTTTGAATATCAGACAAAAATCTGATATTTTCTGATGGAGAGAAGCCGACAGGAGCCAATAACAACTACAAAAATGATCAGAGTCTGGCACCAGAAGTGAGGAAGAAGTGAAAATCCTGCAGGTTTTCATCTCGCTAAACCACTGCAAAACAGAAAGGCATTAAGTCTTACATTAAGTCTATTTCAACCTGTTTCACAGATAGAATTACTAATGTCCCTAGTTAATGTTATAACTATTATGTATAAACTGTATACATAATATAAAAACTTTAAACACAAAGGGACATTTTAAAAAAATTATACTGAAGCATCAACCACCATTTTTGTCCTGCAATGAGAGAAAACTCCCTCTGAATAAGACTAAAGTTATTAAAGTGTCGAATTATATTTTTTCCCTTATACATTGTTATTTTGCACATTAGTAAACTGTACTAAAATTGGTTAAAACCATATTAGACACTGGATCATGTATAACTCCCCCTAGCGGTGAATCAATTTTTAAAAAAGATTCGAACCAGTGTATGAACTTAGCGAAGAGTCGTTTGAGGAAATCACGTGACTTGTCTTGGCCAGTGTGAATCAGTGTTGCCAATTTAGCAATTTTGTTGCTAGGCGTCATTTAGCAACTTTTAGCAACAAATCAACCTTCCTTTAGCAACTTCCCCTGAAAATTAGTTGGCAACACTGAGTGTGATTCGCGCTCCGACCCACTGATTCAAAACAAGAGTTGATAACCTTTCGGGACAGTGTTTTGAAAGCGCTTATTTTAAGTACCATTTTTGGTTGCATAATCTTTCTTAGTGGATTGAGTTGACAAAAATGACTGATGGAGCGATCTGTGAAAAAAACGGGATCGAACATTTCCTGAGTGATAAAGATGGAGCAGCATGAAAACAATCAGAGACCCCAGATGTGCAGACGAAAACCTGCCAGTTCTCACCTGGTGAAGAGCGGGAGAATAAAAGACAGTGTAAGATGGTTAGTTGTCACTTACAAAGAATCAAATAAGTCAAAGGAATATGGTAATTGCTGGTCGTGACTAATGAAAAAGAGTCTAAAATTACATATAAGTGATCATTTAATGTTCAAATATCCGCAATAGTTGGGGATTTGTCAGACCAACTACAATTGAACCACAGAACCAATTAATGTAGAAACAGCGATTTTTTTATGATTAAAGTAATTACTTAGATGATTTAACAATTGTGATACACAGAAAAAAAATTACTGAGAAATAAGGCAAAATCAGGTTATTGGGTCACTTTTTGACACATCATAAAGCAGCTGCAGCATTACAATGTCTATAGGCATGATGCTTAATTTCACAAAAGTGTTGTCATTGAAAAAAATCATGTAATAACAAAATTTAACATGCTAGTTGTCACTTAGGTACTCATGCCCATCCCTATTTGTAGTCTGATTTGGTGAAATTTGTTTGTTTTTTTACAAATTTTTATTTTTTATTTATTTTTTATTCTTTAAAATGCAGTAAGCTGGAAAAACAAATCACTGTCTATCTTCTGTAACAAAAAAAAAGTGTTCTGTTGAACAGTGATCCTGTTTAATCCTGTATTAAGAGATACAAGTGAGATGGATATTAGTACCAGGTGTAAATCTCTCTCTATAGATGAAAAAAGCAAAGTGCATCTAATAGATAATAACCTAAAAGATAATAAATTTGTATAACCATTTCAAAATTTAATGGCAATAACATGAGAATAACAGATTCAAAAGATAAAACAATGACTTTTAGATCTGAACGAACTAAAAGAAGGTTCTTTAATTTGTCATCAGTAGCATGTGTTTTATTCAACAAGCAAGCCTTCAAAAGCATATGAGAATTAACACTGGAGAAAAGCCTTTCACCTGCCCTCAGTGTGGAAAGAGTTTCACGCAACAAAGCCAACTTAAATGTCACATAAGAAGTCACACTGGAGAGAAACCGTTCACCTGCCCTCAGTGTGGAAAGAGTTTTACATTGAAACAACACCTTAAGAATCATATACGAACTCACACTGGAGAAAAACCTTTCACCTGCCCTCAGTGTGAAAAGAGTTTCACAGTGAACTGGAACCTTGAGAGTCATGAGAATTCACACTGGAAAGAAACCTTTCAGCTGCCCTCAGAGTTTTGCACAACAAGGACAACTTAAATGTCACATGAGAAGTCACACTGGAGAGAAGCCATTCAACTGTCCTCAATGTGAAAAGAGTTCAAACGAAACCTTGAGATTCACATGACAGTTCACACTGGAGAAAAGCCTTTCAGCTGCTCTCAATGTGGAACAAATTTTACAGTAAAACGAAACCTCATTAGTCACATGAGAATTCACACTGGAGAAAAGCCTTTCAGCTACCTTAAGTGTGGAAGGAGTTTCACAGTAAAACGAAACCTTGAGAGAAACATGAGAATTCACACTTGAGAGAAGACTTCTACCTGCTTTGAGTGTGAGAAGAGTTTCACAGTGAAACATAAGCTTAATATTGTCATGAGAATAGCATTGCTGTTTTGGTGTTTCCCTTATTAATGTATTCAACATACCCATTTCACGTATTCCTATACTTTACATATGTTTCATTTATACTGATTCTTAGCATGTTTTTCTAATGCTGGATAATGCTGTGTTGTACAAAGAATAGCATTTTAGATTCATTAATCTGTGCAAGGCAGAACTGTAACTGATGGGAAAAATAACTACATTTTCTTTCTCTATCAGCCTCATTGCAGAAGAGTTAACTTGACAATATGTTTGAATACCTTTGAATATCAGACAAAAATCTAACAGAGGGAGAGAAGCTGGCTGGAGGCAATGACAACTTCTAAAAATACACATGCATGCACAACATGCGCCTGAGGAAAACCGTTGGGATTGCGAATTCAAATGCGGATGCGCGGGAGAGCGAGCTGAGACAGATTCAGCCGAAGACCGCAACAAACATAAATACAATCAGTAGACATATATTCAGCGTTACACGTTTCAAGACGTTATGGTGAGTATTGAGCACTGGAATCATTCTCCAAAGGTTTTGTCGGTAACTTTATCAGTCTACTGGATATTTTTACGTCATGAAATAATCAATAAATCAAAATCTTTACCGACTGACACTGTATATTTCAGCCTGATTAACTTCTATTCTGTCACTTGCCATGTTTAATGCAGAGGAACATTTTTCATTGATGTTTTGCCAAATTCATCAAAATTGCTACAGAAGTATTTTATTTATTTATGCCAATGTTAACAGACTGTTGCCTGTATATACATATTTATTTATTTATATATAATCTATAGAAATATTTGTTGATTATTTTATTGCCTTTATAACTTGCAAAGCCGGACTTAACATTAAATTAAACAACACTGAGTTCGCCGCCCTCTAGTGGCAAAACATCGAAATTTTCAACTTTTGACGTAACGAAGCCTCTCTTGCTTAAATTACATGACCTCACTAGTTTGATACGTACTCCGAACCACTGATTCGAAAGAATCGTTGACGTTTCGGTTCTTCATGAACCCGTGTTTTGAAAGCGCCCATCGCTACATTAATGCTGCTTATATTATAAGCCAGATCAGTTTCGGTTGTAAAATGTCTATTAGAGAATAGAATGAATTAAAACTGACTAACGGATATTCTGCGAAATAAACTTGATGGATAATGATGGAGCAGCATGAAAGCGACCAGACCACACTGGCACCAGATGTGAGGACAAAAACCTGCCAATCGTCACCTAGACAAGAGCACAACAATGAAAAACAGTGTAAGTTGGTTATTTGTCAATTTCATATAATCAAATAAGTTAAATGAATCTGTTAACCGTGACCAATAAAGCCACATGTGTCAAATGATTTATAAGCCTAGAAAGGTGGTTATTCCAGATGTTCAAATGACCACAATAGTTGCGGATTTGTAAGAGCAACTTAAAAAAAAAATCTAAAATCAGACTGAAGCCAGAGAAGCCTAGTGAAATTGTGATTTTTGGATACTTGAATAAATGATCATTCATTCCTTTTAATAAAATTAAAAAGACATAATACAGCACTCTCCAAACAAAAGTATATTTCTTTATTGACTGCCTTCCAAAACATGTTGCATGCTGTAAAATGTTCATTATAATAGAAAATGGGGGTGGGGGGAATAGAATAAAAAATGATAATTTTAACAATATTTCACATGACTGCAAAATCAAATTATAAAACAGTGATTAATAAATATAACAATATAAACTAGCTATAAACATATATTTGTGATTATGTAAAGTTACTTCACATAATTGTTTAAAAAGCATTCCATTTTGTGAATGGTAAACATTTATATGCTAGTTGTTTTATTCACTGCTTTTTAAAGAAGTCTTAATGTACATGTAAAAATACATGTACATGCTCTCTCCACAGTGAATGTGTCCCAGATGTGTATTAAAATGATAGTGGTGCTTAAACTTTTTTTTTTTTGGTCATAATAGTTATATGCTTTTCCACTGTCAGGCCATTGTGAGCCAGGGCTTACAATGAGTTGAGCGGGGCCAATAGCCTTGGATCCCAAGCCACGAGGACAAAATCAAGCTGCATGTCCAATGTCTGGTCAGTAGCCTTGCAACGCTACTCTAAAACCCACCCTTGACACGTCTAAATAGAACAACACAGAACACAACCCCACCATTTCACCAACAAGGGGAAGATGAATGAAGACTAGCTAGATTGCAAAATGACAGAAGCAAACTTTTGTGATGATTTACCAAATAACTACAAGATTATAATCATATATGTTCTTCAAACAGTCTCCGGTATTTTTATAAGAATACTTAGCCTTTAGCATCTCATATAAATCTATAAATAACATATTTCTGCCACCTACGGTGATAAGAATTCCCATTAGCATGCTTGTGTAACCCCTCCTGTTCTACTCCCCTCGCTTGCACCGAATGGGAACCAACGTTTCTGTTGGTTCCGTTACACTCACCCCTAAACCTCACTCCCATCCGGGTCACGGCACTAATTTAACCCCTTCGGGTTTTACTCCCTTCACTTGCTCTGAGCGGGATTTGAAACGGTGTTACCAGCATGGGAGGTGGGCGCACTAACAAGGATGCTAAAGATCGCAGCCTCTAGTGTCAGTTGCTAGTGCGCCTCTTGAGATTAGGGGAATGAGGTTTACCCACACAGCACTAACCAGCTGGCCTCCGTTACACTCACCCCCCTAATCTTCACTCCCATCCGTGTCACGGCACCAATGTAACCCCTTCGGGTTTTACTCCCCTCACTCTTTTCGAGCGGGATTTGAACTGGAGTTACCGGCATAGGAGGCGGGTGCTAACAAGGACACTAAAGACCACAGCCTCTAGCATTAGTCGCTGGTGCACCTTTGAGATCAGGGGAGTGAGGTTTACCTGCGCAGCTCTTACCAGCTGGCCTCCGTTACACTCAACTCCCTAAACCTCACTCCCACCCGGGTCACGGCACCAGTGTAACCCCTCCGGTTCTACTCCCCTCACTCTCTCCGAGCGGGATTTGAACCAGCATTTCGAGCATGGGAGGTGGGTGCGCTAACAAGGACACTTAAGACCGCAGCCTCTAGCGTCAGTCTCTAGTGCGCCTCTTGAGGGGAGTGATGTTTTTCCCAAACAGCTCACGCCTCCATTACACTCGCCTTTGGCCTGACAGTGGAAACATGGCTAACATGCATCCCTGACCAACCATGAATGTGGTTTAAATTTTGCATCCTGTTTACACCCATTTTAACAAATACAAGTGAGTTGGATCTTAGTACTGGGTATAAATGGGACCTAACTCTATCTTATAGTGGAAAATGCTATAGACAAGAACATTAATTGTAACAATATGAGAATGACAGATTTAACATTTAGTATATCAGAGACCTTTGTCGCATTCTGCTGTTAAACTTACTTTGGCTCAGTCTCACCTTAATTATCCTTGAATTGATTTTTTACATAGATATTTTAATGTTTATTTTAGATCAGAATGAACGGAAAGAAGATTCTGTCACTCGCCATGAATGTGGGATGCATTTCTTTAAGGAAGCAAGTCATGAGGAGCACACGAGAATTCACACTGAAGAGAAACCATTCATCTGCCCTCAGTGTGGAAAGAGTTTCACAGTGAAACAAAAGCTCGAGGCTCATTTAAGGATTCACACTGGAGAGAAACCTTTCAGCTGCCCTCAGTGTGGAAAAAGTTTCACGCAACAAGGTCAGCTTAACATTCACATGAGAATTCACACTGGAGAGAAACCTTTCACCTGCCCTCAGTGTGAAGTGAGCTTCACGCAACAAGGATACCTTAAACGTCACATAAGAACTCACACTGGTGAGAAACCGTTCATCTGCCCTCAATGTGGAAAGAGTTACAAAGTAAAACAAAGCCTTGAGAGTAATGTGAGAGTTCACACTGGAGAGAAGCCGTTTATCTGCCCTCAGTGTGGAAAAGCCCTCCATTCCAAAGAAGCCATTTATTTGCCCTGAATGTGGAAAGAGTTTTACAGTGAAACAAAGCCTTGAGAGTCACATGAGAATTCACACTGGAGTGAAGCCTTTCTCCTGCCATCAGTGTGGAAAGAGATTCACAGTGAAACAAAGCCTCGAGAGTCACATGACCATTCACACTGGAGAGAAACCTTTCACCTGCTCTGAGTGTGGAAAGAGTTTCACAATGAAGCAAAAGCTTGAGAGACACGTGAAAATTCACACTGAAGAGAAACTTTTCATCTGCCCTCTATGTGGGAACAGTTTCACAATGAAAACCAACCTTGACAGACACATGAAAATTCACACTGAAGAGAAGCCTTACACCTGCTTCGTGTGTGGAAAGAGTTTTAGAATAAAACAAAACCTTGATAGTCACATGAGAGTTCACACTGGGCTGAAGCCCTTCATCTGCTGTGAATGTGGGAAAAGTTTCACTGTGAAACAAAGCCTTGAGAGTCACATGAAACTTCACAATGAACCGGAGGCTTTTACCTGTTCCGAGTGTGGAAAGAGTTTCACAGTGAAGCAAAACCTTGAGAATCACATGAGAATTCACACTGGAGAGAAACCTTTCACCTGCCCTCAGTGTGAAAAGAGCTTCACGCAACATGGACACCTTAAACGTCACATGAGAATTCACGCCGGAGAGATGCATTTTGACCGAGTTGGGGAATCTCCTCTGCTGTCACCTGTGTACAGCATCCATCCAAATGCAGTGATGGCAGTCATAGCATACCAGGACACCCACCAGCTATCGGAGGAGAGTGATATAGTCAATCTGTTTATATGACTAGGAGGTCATGACCAATAAGAGACCAACAGGACAATTACTGTGTTGACAATTAAGTGTTTCTATTGTTCATTATTATGGGAGCTGCGGTGTTTCCCCTTAATTATATATTTACACAATTATTCTGCATATTTTGAATGTTTATTATACCTTATATGTTAATATTGATTTATGTGATGTTTTTCTAATAATGTATAACCTAATGTACAAAAAAATAAAATTTAAAGGGATAGGCACCCAAAAATGAAAATTTGCTGTTAATTTACTCACCCTCAGGCCATCCGAGATGTTGGTGACTTTTGTTTCTTCAGTAGAACAGTAAAGAGGATTTTTAGGTGAAACTGCTGTCCTTGGCTATTCATACACTGCACGTCTGTGGCTGCCGGTGTTCTGACGATTTGTGCTACCCCATCTGTTTTTGCTACCTCCCATTAAAACAATTGGGAGCACAATTCGACATTGAAAAATGCTACCTATCAGATTGTGCTTTATTTACGTCTACACCTACCGCAACCCCAAACTTACCCTTACAGTAATACAAATACAGTAATAATGTGTTGTTCAGCATGACAAAAAATGACACAATATTGATGTGCACATGCGCAGTAAGCCCAGGCAGGACAATCTGACGAATAGGGTAAAATGTCAGGACACCGTTTTTGAATATAAAAACATATATATACTCTAAAAAATGCTGGGTTAAAACCAACCATTGCTGGGTTATTTGGCAACCCAGCACCGGGGTAATATTGGACAGAACACATGCTGTGTTGTTTTGACCCAGCTGGTTGGATTAAATGTTTTACTCAACATGCTGAGTTGTTTTATTTTTAACTCAACTATTGTTTAAAAATTACTATATTGCTGGTTTAAAATGGGCTGGAAATAAAAAATCACACACAGAATTACTAGAGGCAACAGTAATAATCAAAAGATGAATATTTATTAATAAGCAAGAACACCCATGGACAAAAATATGAGACAAATTAAAATTGTTTGGGTGATTACAGCATAGTTTACAATATTACATATATTTAAACTCGTTTAACAAGCATTTTAGAAATAAAAAAATGTAACATTTAAAAGTAACATTTGAGCATTTAAGCTGATGATGCAGTTTGTTTACAACGGAGAGTGAGAACTGAGAGCAATGGAGGACGCAGCGGCACAACCACAAGCCTTGGTGATACTGAGGACTGTTGAAACATGGTGGTGTTCTAAGTGTCAGAGGTAGAATCTATCTGGATCAAAGGTCGGAAATATGTGAAAAGTCAATCTTCCTCAATGGGATTGCGTCAGCAAAAGTAATCTTTTTAAATCGGTTCCAGCATCCAGGATAAGCACAGGTAAGTACCATTTTGACGAACAGTAAAACACATGTGCCCTCACTCTTCGTTGTAAACAAACAGCGTCATCAGCTTACATGTGAGAATGCACCTGTGTGTGTATACGTCATTATGCGACATAGGAAGTTCACGCTCCAGAGAGTCATGAATGCACTGAGAACTGTTTGCCCAGGCTGTGGTTTAAAAATAATAATTTTGTTAATAATGTTCATTTTATTGCTCAGGCTGATCTTTTTGCTTCAGAAGACCTCAATGTATCGTCTGGAGCCACGGGTATTGATTTGGTCTTCTCTGTGTATGTTTTTTGACAAAAACCGGCAGCCACAGACGTACAGTGTATGAATCCCCAGTGACAACGGTTTCACCTAAAAATCTTCTTTACTGTTCTGCTGAAGAAAAAAAAAATCAAATCAGATAAAAAATTCACCTCTTGGATGGGCTGAGGGTGAGTAAATTAACAGAAAATTCTCATTTTTGGGTGAACTATCCTTTTAAGTTTCATGAATCTGTAAGAACTGTAACAGATGGAAAGAACAACTTTATCATCCCTGCATGCTCAGGACAAGAAGTCTTTTCATGACCGCATACACTGTTAAGCAGAAAATTCCCATAACCTTTTCTTGTTATAAGAACATGTATATGTTTCTGTTTAGATACAGTCAGAGCATTGACTAACACAAATATCTCAGGTTATTCAATAAACTGCTCATTTCTTATCACTTCATTTCCTCCCTCATGCTCTTCTGCTACAGAAGAGTTAACTTGACAATACATTTGAATAATTTTGAATGTCAGACAAAAATCTTCATGAGGAAGAGAAACTGGCTGGGAGGCAATGACAACTTCTAAAATGTCTGGCCCAGCTTTTCCTCACTTAGCTGCTGCAAAACAGAAAGTCAGTGTTAGTTGCTTATCACTTTCATTCAAAGATTTAAATGAGTCAAAATGTACCTTGGCTCTGTTTCATCCTGTTGTGACTGTTGTGCTGTATATCCAAGTGAAACGACTTCCTGAACTAGAAAAATGCAGGACTGGAGATGCATGTCCATTGAAAGTTGACTGGATCGTTGCCGTTTGCTATTGCTGCGATCTCATGAGTGTCAGGTTGCTGGAGGGAGAGGGGTTATTGTCGCACATCATAAGACAAGAGATGTCATTGCAAGGGGGAGGGAAAGTTATTTTGATTAAAAATGACAAGGGCACATGAATTGTAAATATTTATTATAATTATTTTTAAATATTTTAGAATAAACATTGCATTCTTCCATAAAATTAGGAATTGTTGATTTAACAATGACTTTAATATTTATGTAATAAAACTGTTATCAAATATTATATTTAGCTGTCTTACTCTGCAGTCTCATGATCAAAATATTTTATACTTTTGTTTTTTAAAATCAGTTACTTAATGTAAATCAGACTAGCAACTTAGTTATTGTTTTTATTCACAAAATTTAAGAAGGAACATTTGAACTAAAAGGGTTCTATATAAATTCACTTCAGACGGCTGCCTCACACGCAAAATAACCAACAAAAAATGATAGCCTATTATTATATGGGGAGATTTACAAACTTTAAAAAACAAAACACTACAAATCTAAAGTCAAAATTTGACGGTTTCAGACAATGATTAGCTTTAGATTTTCAAAACCATGAATAGAAATTGATAATGCTTATATTTACATCAGAGTCCTATTTGCAGATGACCATTACAGACTGTTACAACTTGAATTTCAACATACATTAGCTGTGTTTGTGTGAATGTGTGTGAGCCCTGTGATGGCCTGCCCATCTGTCCAGGGTGTTTCCCCGGGACAGACTCAGCCCCCCGTGATCCTACAGAGGATAAGCCGTTTGGAGAATGGACGGATGGATTATCTGTGTGATTATCCGTTTTGAAGGCTGTTGCTATGTAGAGTCCGATAAACAGCGTGTACTCAACATAGAATCTAGATGGCCATTGTAGGACTTGCAGGTTGGAATGCGTCAAACTGATCCACCCAAAGCTTTTCTATAGCAATGCAATCTTATTTTGAATGTGCACTGAACAGAGTCACCATAGAACATTCCAAAGAACATTTGGCCTGGTCATATTTTATGCCATCAAAACGATTTTAAATGTTTTTTAAATTCCAATGTTCTGATTATTTTAACACCTAAACCGTCTCAGTTTGTTCTGGTTTTGTTTTCTTACTAAACATGTGTATGTTGTTTTCTATTTGCAGATGACCATTACAGACTGTTACAACTTGAATTTCAACATACATTAGCTGTGTTTGTGTGAATGTGTGTGAGCCCTGTGATGGCCTGCCCATCTGTCCAGGGTGTTTCCCCGGGACAGACTCAGCCCCCCGTGATCCTACAGAGGATAAGCCGTTTGGAGAATGGACGGATGGATTATCTGTGTGATTATCCGTTTTGAAGGCTGTTGCTATGTAGAGTCCGATAAACAGCGTGTACTCAACATAGAATCTAGATGGCCATTGTAGGACTTGCAGGTTGGAATGCGTCAAACTGATCCACCCAAAGCTTTTCTATAGCAATGCAATCTTATTTTGAATGTGCACTGAACAGAGTCACCATAGAACATTCCAAAGAACATTTGGCCTGGTCATATTTTATGCCATCAAAACGATTTTAAATGTTTTTTAAATTCCAATGTTCTGATTATTTTAACACCTAAACCGTCTCAGATTGTTCTGGTTTTGTTTTCTTACTAAGCACATGTGTATGTTGTTTTGTTTTATTTTATTGACTATTTAAATAAAACACGTTGACATCTCATGTTGTCATCACCTCTCCTTTCAAGTGTAATTTTCATCCTGGCACTGTAAAATATCCCTATTAGAAGTGTTTACAGGAATGTTTCTAAAGCAGGGAAATACAATATGTCAATATAATGGAAAGCACTTAATATTCAGCAAACAAAACATTTTGATTAACACGACATACATTAATACACCATGGCCTGGTTTCACAGACAGGGCTTAGACTAAGCCAGGATTAGGCCATAGTTCATTTAAGTAATTTTTATGAACATGCCTTAGAAAAAACATTACTGGTGTGCATCTTGAGACAAAACAAAGGCACTGATATATTTAAAGATCAGTCAGTGCAAGTTTCTTTCAGTTGAAACAGCTCAGACTTACATTTTAGTCTGGGACTTAAGCCTTGTCTGTGAAACTGGGGGCATATATTAGACTAAACCAGGATTAGGCCATAGTTCATTTAAGTAATTTTTATGAACATGCCTTAGAAAAAACATTACTGGTGTGCATCTTGAGACAAAACAAAGGCACTGATATATTTAAAGATCAGTCAGTGCAAGTTTCTTTCAGTTGAAACAGCTCAGACTTACATTTTAGTCTGGGACTTAAGCCTTGTCTGTGAAACTGGGGGCATATATTCTTAGATAAGCTATATTATTACAGTAATATTTAACACGTCCGTAATGTTGCTGCGAAATGTATTTAAGAATCTTCTTTTGATGTCCGATGATTGAAGGGTGGGAGAATGTCATCTGTGCCCAGTTATTGCAAATGCCTATTACTGAATTCATAGATCCAGCCTAAAACTTTTTTTTTTTTTTACCAGTCGCTGATTGTGAGCTAATCATTGATTAGAAAAGGTCTACTGAGTTTGAGGCAGATTAAACATGCAGTGGCAGCCACACAGACAGTCTCTAGAGTAGCCTAAAGCTTTGCTGTCCTTTCCCCTGGTTCTGGCCACTGCTCTGCTCCTCAGCATGTCTGTGCCACGGCCCTGTAGGATAACATAAGCTTTACTGATTAGTACTGAGACCAGGCACAGGTTTTCTGCAATGGGGTTTCCACAAACCAGCTGCATGACTTGCATTCTTTTGAGATCCTAAAATACTACATTAATCCC